ACCATGTTCAGCGCCTTGGGCTTCCTGACAGGGTTGCGGAAGGCGCTTTATAAATAAAGCTTTGATTGATTGATTGATTAAAGTTTTTTCTCAGCTTCACACTCAAGTATTTATTATGGGGTTGTACTCTCTCTCTCACTTTACATTTTTAACTCACAATTTACTACTTTCTTCTCATTTTAAACATGTTTAAACATGTCGTCACTGGTCCGATCAGGCAGGGGGCCAGAGAAAATTATGGAGTCCGACATTGTTTTGGCAAACTTACATACCGAAGCTACATTAATTTTAGTGACCTCCGATTGGCGTAACCTGGTGTCATTACTGCCAGCGTGAAGAACAATCTTACAGTACTTAGGCTTATCCTTAGCCAGCAGTTTCAGGTAAGACTTAATGTCGCCCGCTCTGGTCCCAGGTAAACATCTATGGTTGCTGGAGTCTCTAATGCCACGTTTCTGACTAAACGTGTTCTTTGTATAATAGAAATAAAATATATTAGGATTACTGTAACTCACTGTGATCACAAAAATAAATCAGCTGATTAGCAATCATGAAAGGAGGTCTGGGAGGGGTTCACTCTTTTATTACAACACTTTTTCTTTTTAGATCTGTTACAAGGCCACCATGGCTGCCTGAGTCTTCAACATCAGCTACACAAAGAAGCAGGTGTAGCTTGGCCTCCCTGAAGTCAGTGTCTCCTGGTTCGATTGGGGCGGACTGAGGTGGAAAGACCTTCTCCCCTTCTTTTTCCACTCGCTGTGAGGAAGAGCAGCTCCTGATGTCCTTCTCATCCACTGTAGCAGCAATGACATGGGGGTGGTCAGCAGTGTGATGCTGGTCAACATGATGGAGAAGGACCTCCACCAGCTTCACCTTCTGCACCCTCATATGGTCATCTTCTTCTCATCCATCACCCAAAGGTGTAGCTGGAGGGCAGGTGTAAAACCTCCAAAAATGGACAAGACTGGAGTTTTGTCAACAGTGTTATGGCTACACTTATTTCTAATTAAATGGTGCAGTGGTTGTGCATCCTAACATCAGACACGACAGTCCAGGGATATTTTTGTCAATGTTCATTTCATAAATAAAGGAAATTATATTTTCTTAACTAATAATGCAAATTTTCTTAATGGCCAGCTCCAAAAGCAGTGAAAGACTTCTAACTGGGAGTCTCCCTGCTTTTGAATTTTGCCTTTAGAACAGATTTATTTTAAGGCACATAGTACAAACCTATCCCTGACTCACTCTGCAGCTCTCTGGGCCCCTTTTCTTGTTTTATTTTACCTTTTTCCAAATTTACTGACAGTGTGTCCTGTTAGTTTATAAAATCTTGTGTAAAACGATAAATGTTATTTTTTTCTCAATTACTGGAATTCTTTGGATAAGACATGAAAGTAAGGAAGAATCATATGGAAGCGTATGAATAACAGAATTAAATGATTATGCAGTAGCAGAAATAATTTTTAATTTTCACATTAGAACTGCCAAATTTGACTCATAAATAAAATTAATAAGCAATCTTCCAAACTTCTTTTAATTTTCTTCTTCATCATTGCTTATTCTGTGACTTAATGAGAAGTATAAAGAAAAAAAATTTAAGATTTAATTTTCTAATAACACTTCAGCAAATATTTAACTAAATTCTATTTGAAATGTCAAATCTGAAAATGAAAATACATGAGCAGAAACGCTTTTTCATTCTCACTACACAACTGCTTAGTGTGACTCACAATTAAAATGAAGAAGCATTTCTCCAAACTGCTTTTTAATTTTCTTCTTCATCATGGCTTAATCTGTGATTTCATGAAAAGTATAAAGAAAAAGACATTTGAGATTTAATTTTCTAATAACACTCCAGCAAATGTGTAACAAAATTCTATTTGAAATGTCAAATCTGAAAATGAAAATGCAGTAACATAAATATTTTCATTTTCACTTTACAACTGCTAAGTCCATCCATCCATCCATTTTATGAACCTGCTTGTCCATGTAGGGTCGCGGGGGTGCTGGTGCCTATCTCCAGTGGTCATTGGGCAATCAGGCGATGTACACCCTGGACAGAGTGCCTGGACACACACACACACTCACACCTAAGGACAATTTAGAGAGACCAATCAACCTGACTGTCATGTGTTTGGACTGTGGGAGGAAGCCAGAGGACCTGGAGAGAACCCACACATGCACAGGGAGAACATGCCAACTCCATGCAGAAAGGCCTTGGGCCGGGAGACAAACCCAGGACCTACTTGCTGCAAGGCAACAGCTCTAACCACTGCACCAATGTGCAGCCCCAACTGCCGAGTGTGACTCAAACTTAAAATTGGGGTGGGGGATGGGGGTGGGGGGAAGAACAGCGTGTGATTACAGACAAATGCATGAGAGAGATAGCAAACCTGTAGCAGCTTGATGGACAACTCTCCCCACGTTTTAAATTGCAAACATAACATTTCTGCTACGCTAAATAATGATTTCTCTATAGAACTACAAAGTCCGACTGGGGAGGAGAGTAGGTCTGCTCTGTGGAGGGGGGCGGAGTTTGCAGCTCCTTCTCCAGACTTAAAAGAGAAAGTACCCAAAAATGGCTCATTCTCAGGCCCTGTCCACACGTAGCCGGGGATCTGCCAAAACGTAGATATTTTTCTACGTTTTGGCCTGTCACCCACACGAAAACGGAGTTTTTTCACACGAAAACGGATCTTTTTAAAAACTCCGGCCAAAGTGTGCAGCAATGAGAATTGCTCTTAACCGTGTGTTCCGGCCGGAGTCTAGAAAGTGTAACACCGGAGGGTGAGAGATAGACACACATGTCTGATTATTGAGTGTTCAATAAAGGTTTGCCTCGGACGAGGAAAAGTCAACTGAGCATCTTGTGGAATTTATAGAGAGAACAAGATGAAACAAAGTGAAGATCTGCGTTTTCTCCGTTTTGGGTGTCTGCGTGTGGACCGACAAAACCGGAGTTTTAAGGTCCGCAACGTCACTTTCCGCGACAAAAAAATGCTGACATCACGTGCGCGACCTGTGTTTACACTAGCCGGAATCATGGAAGCCCTCAGAGCTGCGCCCTGTCACTACCCGATCCATCAATTGTCCGAGCGCTTTTTGCTTGTTTGTTTTTGCAAGCGGAATTACTGCTCCTTGCGGAAGACCACAGACGAAGGACGAGGTTAAGAATGGGGAAGTACTGCCGCCTACAGGTCTGGCATGTCCTTAACAACGTATTTATCCGGGTACGTGTGGACGGAGTTTGTTTTTAAAACGCGGTGGTTTGGATGCAAGTTTTTGGAGGGGCGGATATTCGTTTTAAAAAAAAACCCGGCTACGTGTGGACTAGGCCTCAGACTCTCCTCAGAACAGGGGTAGATGAGGGGTCTGTAGAGCAGCAATAATGAGGAAATCAGACCAAAGAACTTCAATTCCACTGAGTTTAGACCCCAACTGATTGATTTAGATGTAAAATGGAAGAATTTAAAAGGATGATATGTCTCCTTTAAGGCTTTAAGAGTCAGTCTATTTATTCCTTTTATTTGTTTGAGCTGGAGTTAGCGTGCACATGCTCATCAGGAATGGTCTTTCCTTCATTTGGAAGCGATACACATACCTCTGTGTTTACCGACATAAACCTGTAAATTTCCTCCATGATGCACAGCGCCAGGAGGTGAACGGCCAGAGCAGCGTGAATCAAAAGCTGCATCCAACAAGGCCCAAGCAGCACGTTCAGGACCCAAACACCGCTTCAGGACTCACTCCAGCGTGGTCTCCAACAGGACTCGACCCACCAGCACCTCCAACAGGACTCAACTAGGTAACTTTTACTTTGAGTACATTTTACTTAAGATACTTTTTACTTTTACTTGAATAAAAATTTAGGCTAGTACTTTTACTTGTACTTGAGTAAAAAATTATCAAAGTATTGGTACTCGTATTTAAAGGTATAGCAATCAATGATTTTCTTCCAGGTGGATCACATCAACCATTGGTCCGCAAAAATGTAAATTTCTGGTGAAGCCAATCCTGGGTTAGTTTTCACTTCATGCCCATGCGTACTCTGTGCACCCCCGCTGTCTCATGGAAATCAGGAAGAGGGTAACGCGGTCCAGTCCACTCTCCACAGACGCTGCTGTTGCCGGTATTCTGCTAGAGAGGTAAGCTAACGTTCTGCATGCAGTTTTTAGAGCCTCTTATTACACATTACGGCCGGCAGCTACTTGTAAACAGGCGCTGGGAGAGTGTTGCGCAACGGGGAGAGGGTGGTTCTTTCCTGAAATTCAGAAACATCGATTGATATACCTTTAGTAGGAAATTGTAGTAGTCTTTCCACCTCAGATTGCACCTAAGACAGTACAAAAACAGAAAGAATGGAAAAAATAAGCTGGATTAGTTGGTACCATTGCCGGTGGATGAATCTTCCTTGGTATGGGAGTGAAGTGAAGCAGCTAGACCGATGGAAGTGGCGGGTTTTGTCCAGTTTGCTGAGCGCCACATGAAGCTAACCTGCTTTTTCTACCATTCCATCCGATGCGTACCCTGTTGGCGTTAAACAGCAAAGTAAAACCTTCTAACTTGTACATGAACTTTTTCTATATGTCAGTGAAACTTGGATTTGTAATTACAGAAAGTACAATGTTATGTGTAGATGTGCGAGGGAGAGCCGCTACACCGTGCAGTGGAGCTAGATGAACTCTGGAATCGGTGAGCAAATCTTATGCTTTGTTATTTCAAATAAGTTTGCAACCTGAAAAACGTTAAAAACAACTCATTGTACATATTCTGGTTAATAACTGTTGCACAAAAGTCTGATTTTGGAAAACCAGATTTATACTTTTGCTAACTGTGAATCCGAGTTTCCATTTGTATTTGGATGACAAACAATATGGATAATTTAGGTATTAATTTTTGATCAGGTTTATTTGCATGACAGGTAATTACACGAGTAGATTAATCTGGTGACTTTGATGGCGACTTTTATGTTTAAACTCCAGAAACAGTGAACAACAAACTGAATAGTGAACAAAGAGATTTAATAAAACACTTTAGTGGCAAAAAACATTTCATTTTCAATCTTTTCTTCTCCAAACACAAAACATTTAATAAGACTGCTGCCTTTCATTTTAGTTAAAAGGGCTTCCAGATCAGTAGCACATTTCATTCAACACCTTTAAAAGTCCAAAAATATATATTTTATTTATGTTCATTAATTCTGTCCTGTGTGGACTTTCAAGTGTCTGTTTAAACTTGACTTTACACTAAATGTTTTTTCACAGAGCTCACAAGCAAAAGGCTTCTGTCCTGTATGGACTCTCATGTGAATGTCTAAATGGTCCTTTCGGATAAATCGTTGTCCACAATGCTCACAAGCAAAAGGCTTCCGTCCTGTGTGGACACTCATGTGAATGTTTAAACTTGACTTTACACTAAATCTTTTTTCACAGAGCTCACAAGCAAAAGGCTTCTCTCCTGTGTGGACTCTCATGTGTGTGTTTAAACTTGACTTATCACTAAATCTTTTTTCACAGAGCTCACAAGCAAAAGGCTTCTGTCCGCTGTGGACACTCATGTGTTTGTTTAAACTTGACTTTACACCAAATCTTTTTTCACAGAGCTCACAAGCAAAAGGCTTCTGTCCTGTATTGATTCTCATGTGTGTGTCTAAAGTTCTCTTTAGGGTAAATCTTTGTCCACAGAGCCCACAAGCAAAAGGCTTATGTCCTGTGTGGACTCGCATGTGACTGTTTAAACTTGACTTTACACTAAATCTTTTTTCACAGAGCTCACAAGCAAAAGGCTTCTCTCCTGTGTGAACTCTCACATGTCTGTTTAAACTTGACTTATCACTAAATCTTGTTTCACACAGCTCACAAACAAAAGGCTTCTCTCCTGTGTGGACTCTAGTGTGAATGTCTAAATGGTGCTTTCGGATAAATCTTTGTCCACAGAGCTCACAGGCAAAAGGCTTCTGTCCTGTATGGACTCTCATGTGAATGTCTAAATGGTCCTTTCGGATAAATCTTTGTCCACAGAGTTCACAGGCAAAAGGCTTCTGTCTTGTGTGAACTCTAGTGTGACTGTTAAAATGAGTCTTCTGACTAAACTTTTTTCCACAAAGCTCACAAGCAAAAGGCTTCTCTCCTGTGTGAACTCTCATGTGTGTGTTTAAATGTCCCTTGTGTGGGAATATTTGTCCACAGACCTCACAAGCTAAAGGCTTCTGTACTGTGTGAACTGAACTGAAACTTTTTCCACAGTCGTCACAACTAAATGATTTTAGTTTTGTCGGAACTTTCCCACTAGAGTCTACATTTTGCTTCACTCTAACACGTTTCTTTTCAACACAACAGCTTGAAGACTTCAGTCTTGAATGACTTGTCACTCTCATGTGTTTCTGGAGAGACCGCTCATGGAGGAACTGTTCATCACACTCTGGGCAGCTGAAAGATTTGACAGCCTTAACATGTGATTTAGAAGACCTGGTATCCTTCCAGTCTTTGTTATGATCTTTGGTGTTTGGCTTAGAATCTGACAAGAGTTTCAGTTGACGGTCAGAATTGTTGCCATCCTGGTCATCATCTTCATCATTGCTGACTTCAGTCTCTGAAGAGTTAGAATCATATTCATAAAGATTTAGATCTGGATTCCTGGTAGTTTCTGCTCCTCCACAGTCCTCTCTACCACTTTCTGCTTTCATCTGGTCAGTGGTGCTGCTGGTTGGGAGATCTCTGTCTTTAGGTTGGTTCTGATCAAACTGTGACAACAGAACTTCTCTTCCTTCTTCCTTAACCTGATGAGAAACTGCAGAGAATGAAATGTTGGTGGCATCAGTTTTAATCTCATCAAGCTGCTCCTCCTCTTCCTGCTTCATGTTGAGGGGCTCCATGTCCTTCTGGTTCAAAGGAGGCCTCAGTTCTTCAGGAGTTCTTCCTTCTTCCTTAAACTGACACAAAAATGCAGAGAATGAATTATCACAGTTTAAAATGAATTTAAATATAACAAAACTTTAAAATGTATTTTACTTTGAAAAACCAGTACTGCCGTTTTTTCCCCATGTGCGAAGGAGCCGGCTTCTGTGCGGTGCACTGCTCTCGCGAGTTAAAGAAAACTACAGGGAGAGAAAAGGTGGAAGAAAGGAACCTTACGTTAGAAAAAGGCATTTTTAGTTCAGACCTGTGAAAACCAGCTTCATGCTAACGCACGCTGCTACATGTGAACAGTAACGTAGTCAATGTGGTCTGTCATTAATGCGTAATTCCAGATCGGTAACAGCGTACAGCTTAATGTCGGGTCTTATTCCCACCGAGACTCATTTCTGCTCACATTTTCAGAAGAAGAGGAAGGAAGCCGAGGAAGATGTTGAGGTAACGTTAGATGAAGATGCTCATTGTTCTTTATCGTGACCCAGTTCCCTCTGAGTGATCTGTACCGTGATACGTGTGATATTCCCAACGTTCCTATTGGTGATTGAAGGGAATCTAACATGTGGCTAATATATTAGACAAGTAGGCTGAAGTGGAGGAGGTGAGTGAAGGAGAGACAAGTGGAGAGGCAGAGCAAGGAGCAGCATGATGATGGAGAGATCAGCAGGGAAGCAGAGAATCTGGCTGGGACCCAAAATGTTCCTCCCATGGCTGTAGCACAACAGTCAAGCATTACAATTTATGTCAAGTTAAATAAATATTTTATTTAATTTTAATTAAGCATAAGCTGTTTTACACACTCCTGCATTAATGTTCACCAAAAACACACAGTCTCATGTCTCACAACGACCGTTTCCATACGTCTCTACCACCCTGCATTTAGGGGCGTGGTCCTGGTCAACACAATCTCCTGAACTCCAAACTGAAGGTCAGAATGGGAAAGAAAGGTGATTTAAGCTATTTTCAGCGTGTTGTTGGTGCCAGACGGGCCCGTTTGAGTATTTCTCAAGGGTTTACAAAGAATGGCGTGAAAAGGGAAAAACATCCAGTATGCGGCAGTCCAGTGGGCCAAATGCCTTGTTGATGCTATAGGTCAGAGGAGAATGGGCCGACTGATTCAAGCAGATAGAAGACCCTAACCCTCGTTACAACTGAGGAATGCAGCAAATCAGAATCAGAATCAGAATCAGAATCAGAAAAGGTTTATTGCCATTGTTAGTGAACAAACGATTCACAAACTAGGAACTTGCTTCGGTACTAACGTGCTACATATAACATGAATAATATAATTAAAAAATAGAATAAAGTAGAATAAAATACAATAAACTAGCATAAAACTTTGCTATAAAAAATGGCAGGTAAAGGTAATATGGCCGATAACGTGACGTTATGTCAAGTACCGAAGACGAGCATGGTTGTGTGTTTATAAGCTGTTCACAAGCCTAACGGCAGATGGAAAGAAGCTGTTCTTATGGCGAGAGGTTCTGGTCCGGATGGACCGTAACCTCCTGCCTGAGGGAAGCGGCTCAAAAAGTCTGTGACCCGGGTGAGAAGGGTCAGCTGCTATCCGACCTGCACGCCCACGAGTTCTGGAGACGTACAGGTCCTGGAGAGATGGAAGGCTGCAGCCAATCACCTTCTCAGCAGAGCGCACAATGCGCTGCAGTCTGTGTTTGTCCCTCAGACTGCAGTGCATTGTGCCATAAAGCGTCACCGTGCGGAAAGTGAATGCGTCAAGCATAAACCAAGCTTTAGTGTGTGTTTGTGTGGAATGTCGTCGGTGGAAGTGTATAAGGTGCAAATAAAATTGGGGGGCAGGTTGCCACAGGAATGCGGAAATGGGGTCCATACCCACACTCCCTGACTTGTCCACCCCCCAAGGTCCTATGTGCATGTTTGTGTAATCATGTGAGGGAGCAAGAGGAGAGAAATATGTGGGGATGGGGAGTAAAGGCTGGTTGGGCATAGCCCTCCAGGGAGCCAGCTCCCCCACTGGCCCCAATAGGCACCTCTGTTGTCAAATTGCAACCAAGGGCATGGAGACCCCTGCCCATCCTGCCAGGGCCCAAAGCAGCAGCAATACAGAGCATCACGGAGTCCGAGGGCACCAACCCAGCCCCACCCCAGCACAAAATCTATGCCCATCCCTGCATTTGCACAACTTCCAGAATATATAAGACATAGGACATCCAGGTAAGGTTGGGTCCTCCCCCTCCTGGACCTCCCCCTCCCCTGTGATGGGACAGCAGAGGAGCCAAGGTCTACCTGAAGCCCCTGAACCCGGGCCAGGCACTGCTGCATGTTCCTGCCTTCTTCCCGGCAGCATAAATGTCAGGACCCGACCCCCAAGGTCCCACCCAGATCCTCAAACGGGGCCGGCCACCCCCACACCCCGAGCCCCCAGGCCCGCACCCAGACCCGCCCAGGGGAAATGCAGCTGCCAGGCAGTGACCCATGGCTGCCGCGAAGATCCCCAAGGGGCCCCACTCACAACCGCCAGTAGTCCACCCCCCAAGGCAACCCAAGCACCTCCAGAGGAGGGCAACGGCCCCCCAGTTCCAGACACCCCGAGTGAACCCACCTCCAGGGAACATCCGGACACTCCAAACTCAGACCCCACACCCCCCCCACCCGCACCATCCCGCAGGACAACATCAACGGCCCCCCACCCTCGCTATGTGATGGAACCGATCAAAGGAGCCAAGAGAGATTGTTCTGAAGTGGAAGCAGAGGCTATATCAAGTGTAATATGATCTAACAAAAGATTTCTATACTGGTTAATGAAGAGAGTTTCTCTATTTTTCCAATTCAAGAGGATAGTTTTCTCAGCGATGCAGGCTTTTAAAAACTCCCAGCCTGGTTCATTTCTCAAAACCACAATCATAGGTAAGACTGCCGACCTGACTGCTGTCCAGAAGGCCATCGCTGACACCCTCAAGCAAGAGGGTAAGACACAGAAAGAAATTTCTGAACAAATAGGCTGTTCCCAGAGTGCTGTGTCAAGGCACCTCAGTGGGAAGTCTGTGGGAAGGAAAAAGTGTGGCAGAAAACGCTGCACAATGAGAAGAAGTGACCAGACCCTGAGGAGGATTGTGGAGAAGGACCGATTCCAGACCTTGGGGGACCTGCGGAAGCAGTGTACTGAGTCTGGAGTAGAAACATTCAGAACCACCGTGTACAGGTGTGTGCAGGAAATGGGCGAGAGGTGCTGCATTCCCCAGGTCAAGTCACTTTTGAACCACAAACAGTGGTAGAAGCGCCTGACCTGGGCTACAGAGAAGCAGCACTGGACTGTTGCTCAGTGGTCCAAAGTACTTTTTTCGGACGAAAGCAAATTTTGCATGTCATTCGGAAATCAAGGTGCTAGAGTCTGGAAGAAGACTGGGCAGAGGGAAATGCCAAAATGCCTGAAGTCCAGTGTCAAGTACCCACAGTCAGTGATGGTCTGGGGTGCCATGTCAGGTGCTGGTGTTGGTCCACGGTGTTTTTTCAAGGGCAGGGTCAACGCAGCTAGCTATCAGGAAATTTTGGAGTACTTCATGCTTCCATCTGCTGAAAAGCTTTTTGGAGATGAAGATTTCATTTTTCAGCATGACCTGGCACCCGCTCACAGTGCCAAAACCACTGGTAAATGGTTTACTGACCATGTTATTACTGTGCTCAATTGGCCTGCCAACTCTCCTGACCTGAACCCCATAGAGAATCTGTGGGATATTGTGAAGAGAAAGTTGAGAGACACAAGACCCAACACCCTGGATGAGCTTAAGGCCGCTATCGAAGCATCCTGGGCCTCCATAACACCTCAGCAGTGCCACAGGCTGATTGCCTCCATGCCACGCCGCATTGAAGCAGTCATTTCTGCAAAAGGATTCCCGACCAAGTATTGAGTGCATAACTGAACATAATTATTTGAAGGTTGACTTTTTTTGTATTATAACACTTTTCTTTTATTAGTCGGATGAAATATGCAAATTTTTTGAGATAGGAATTTAGGGTTTTCATGAGCTGTATGCCAGAATCACCAATATTAGAAACAATAAAAGGCTTGAACTACTTCAGTTGTGTGTAATGAATCTAATGTATATGAAAGTCTAATGTTTACCAGTACATTACAGAAAATAATGAACTTTATCACAATATGCTCATTTTTTGAGGACCTGTAGGTTTTTCTGTTTAAAAAAAAACTTAAAATATGGACTTATAATAAATCTTGTTGCATTTATCAAGTCAAGTCAAATATTCTTTTTCAATACTGTTAGACTTACTTTAAACCTGTTGACTCTCAAGCATTGAAGTTATCTAATTAGAGCGGAGTACATAGGATAAACATATGTGCCTTACCTGGTATGATAGAACTGTCTATTTTGCCCAGCTGTTTGATGCAGGTCTGTTTCTTATCTAGAATAATGAAAACTGATTAAACTAGGTCTAAATCGTATTCAGTTTTGAATTAAATTTTGATGAAATAGAATAGAATAGAAAAGATAGAATAGACTTTATTGATCCCACAGTGAGGACATTCACATGTTACAGCAGCACCAACACTTACGATAATAATTTGAAGAAAAATGAACACATACTGAGCATTGCATCGATGTTATTGTGTACCAGCATAATGCCAGTACCAGTTGAACTGAGAAGTTATACACTCTTACTGCAGAGGGGATGAATGACCTACGGTGATGTTCTGGTTTACATTTGGGATGTCTGTAAATGATACACATTTAAACAGATGGTGAGATTATTTCTAACTTGAAAACAGCCTAAACCAGTTATAGTGAAGACATAAGATAGCCTAATAATTAAGTAAGTCAGTCTAACAGTGTGATATGTGCAACAAGACTCGTTACAAGTTCATATATTTAACATTTTTTCGTGTGCTTCTATAAAAGAAGCTGAAACTGGTTTGTTGCAAAACAGGACAGAATGGTTATTATAGCGCTAAGTTCACATTTTCATCACACCTGGCTTCACACGTAAACACCTGCAGCGAGGGAAGACGGTTAGCTGCTAAATAAGCTAGCCAATAGCATTGATGTGACGTTCACGAACGAATCGAATCTTATGAACGGTTTTCAAAGTGAATGATGAGAGCAGAGTCCCTGTAGAGAGCCGTTCATCTTAACAACCTTCCTCGGAAGTCGGTCAAACTCACCCACTCAAACCCCACCCACCACTGTGACGGACGTAGGAGGAACCATAGAAACACTTGTTTGTATACATATCTCGGGAGGAACACTAACCAACCCAGTGCGCCCTCACGGACACCGCAGGAAGATTTTGCTCTTGACCCCCCCCCCCCCCCCCCCCCGGTAGCTATTCAAGCTCTCCACGTGCCATTTGATAAACAAGATGACAAAATGGCGGACATTAACAACAAGTTATCTGAGAATGCCTCGTTGATTGCCAGTCTTGCTGAGTCCATTGAGTTCAATACAGCTGAAGTCCGTGATTGTAAACATAAAATTGCAGGCTTGGAGAAGGAAGCCTCAACCTTACGGAGAGAAGTTGACGATCTCAAAGAAAAGGCAAGAGAACAAGACCGGTACTCACGAAGGTGGAATCTAAGGATCAAAGGAATGAAAGAAGGCATGAACGAAGATATCAGAAAAGAGGTGATCAAAATTCTCGCCAAGATTGCCCCAGAATGGTCGGATAATTTGGAGTACATCGTCAACACTGTGCACCAGATTGGAAGAAAAGAAGAGGGTAGAAATCGCCAAGTCATAATTCAATTTACACAGCACCTACACCGAGATGGAATATGGAAGAAGTCCAAAAAGGCTCAGATTTGTGAGAGTGAAAAAAATCAGTTTTGCCGAGGACTTGACGAAGGAGGATCATATGGAGGGGAAAGTTTGGCCGAAAATTTTACAAGCCAGAAATGCGGGGGAGAAGGCTTACTACAGGGGAGCTGTCGGTTAGATCAATGGCCGTCGCGTTCTGGCGGATGGCTGAAAGGTGTTCACCTTTACTTGTTTTCTGAATTCTACTTAAAGAGGGACGTTTGACAGTTTTGAATGGGATGGGAGGTGCCGACACCACTGTTCTTTCACCTTTCACTAAACAGGAAAGTAAACTAAATTTTTCTTTTTTGTATATCTTCCAAGTTTGATATTCTTAATATTTTTTAAATCTATTTTTGTTTATTTTTAATGCTACGCACGTGTTTATCCTTTGTGTCGTTGAATGTTAGAGGTCTCAGGGATAATGTTAAAAGAAAAGCAATGTTTATGTTTATCAAAGGGCTAAAAACGAATTGTGCTTTACTACAAGAAACTAATTCAAGTGACGCTGACGCCTTCTTCTGGTCAAATCAGTGGGGTGAAGAAATCCTCTTCGGCCACGGATCAAACCACTCTGCTGGAGTAGCTCTCTGTTTCTACCGATGTCCAGGGAAGGTCGTGACTTTTTAGGCTGATATTTCAGGACACTGGCTGGCAGTTGTATTGTGTATTGATGGTTCATTTGTGATTCTAGTAAATGTTTATGGGTACTCCTCTGTAACGCTAATAAGCTCATGCTGGAAAAAATAACAGATGTCCTTTCCGAGTATAAACTTTTATACCACACAGTCGATGTGTTACTAGGCGGGGATTTTAATCTTGTTCCAAATGAATGGCAGGATAGAAACCCTCCTAGATACAGTATTAATCAGTGGAATCAAACTCTAACAAAATTCATTGCTTCAAACAATTTAAGTGACATATGGAGAGAGAAAAACCCTGGAGTTACTCAATTCTCTTCTCTGCCGCTCTCTTCGATTTCCCTCACCATTGTAATGTGAGGAAGTATGGGTTTCTGTGCCAAAGGTCGTATTTGCCCGGCTGGGTCAAAGCTGGGTCACGCAGCACCTTCACCCACAGATTAAGACCTAAGCTGCCAGCAAGTCTGAAGGACTCCACAACATCAAGAACACCTGCATCTCCAGAAGAAGGACTTCACTCAGTCTAGTTATAATAAAACAGAGTGTTACACTTTCTTTGTTTATTAATATTAATTAATCATTTGATCACTTTGCTCATTATAAATGTATTTTAATCAAATGAATGATTATTATGTT